TATCACCATCGGCAGCAGCATAATCATCAGCATCATCATCATAAACATCACCATCATAATCATGACAACCACCATCCTCAGCGTCATGGTCATAATCACTAGCACTACCATTCTCACCACCACCATCACAACCACCACCACAAGCATCGTCACTACCAAGGTCTGAAAATTCGCATCATCATTGCCATCGGCAGCAGCAACCATCATCGCATGCTCATCATCATCAGCAGCAGCATCATCATGATGATCATCATCATCACCACCACCATAAGCATCATCATCATCATCATCACCATCATCATCATCATCAGCATCATCATCATCTGCAGCATGATAATCATTATCACCATCAGCGTCATCAACAACAGCAAGAAGAGCAGCAATATCACCATCAGCAGCAGCATCCGATCATCCTCCTCCTCATCCTCATCTTCCTTATCCTACTGTCCTCCCCCACCCCTTCTCCGTCCCCCTCACCTTCCCTCTCCTCCTCCTCCTCCTCCTCCTTCTCCTCCTCCTCCTCCTTCTCCTCCATGACAAGAACGGGCTTCCCCACTACGTATTATCCGATTCGGACCAGACTGCACCAACCATCGAAGTCCTCCCGCCTCGGCCTCCTCCTCCTCCTCGTCCCCCTCCTCCCCCTCCTCCTCCTCCTCGTACCCCACCTCCCCCTCCTGGTCCTCCTCCTCCTCCTCCTCCTCCTTCCCCCCTCCTCCTCCCCCTCCTCCTCCTCCTCCTCCGCCTCCTCCTCCACCTTCTCCTGGTCATCGTGCTTCGTCCTCGCTCTGGCTCTCGCCCCGACCGTTCGCGCGCGGAGGGCGTCTCCTCGAGCTCCGCGCGGGCGAGGCCGCCGAGGTGGAGCTCCGCGGAGCAGGCGCGGGGCGCCTCGCCGGCTTCCCGGGGCCAGTCGGGCGGAGGCGCTGTCCAAGTGCACACCCTCCACCTCAACCTCCTCCTCCTCCTCCTCCTCCTCCTCCTCCTCCTCCTCCTCCTCCTCCTCCTCCTCCTCCTCCTCCTCCTCCCCCTTCGCCTCCTTCCCCCATGACTCCAGCCCTCCTCCTACTCCTCCACCCCGGGTCATCCAGACCTGTCGGCAGGGCGGGCCAGGCTTCTCGCCTGCGACTTCCTTTGCCCTGTAGGATCGTGAAGCTCGCACTCTGCAGCAGCCTCACGGGCGGAGGGCGGGCCATTTATGAAAGTGTGTCTCTCGCCTTGGCGCCGCCCGCCTTCGTCTCACGCAAAAGCTTGCAGCAGCTTCACGGAGGGAGGGCGGGTCGTTTGCAAGGCGTGGCTCTCGCCGTAGCGCCGCGCACATGTGCCCGAAACCTTTGGAGCAACTTCCAGCATGGACGGCGCTCCGTTTTCAAAATGAGGCTCCAGCCTCCGCGCCGCGCACATTCGTCTTAAGAGTGTGCAGCGGTTTCAAAGATTCGTATGGTTGAGGTCCCGGGCACGGTCCTCTGGCACAGCTTCTGCTTGTCCGAGTCTAACGGTCATTTTGAATCGCTGCGTTGACGTCCCAGGAGTGGTGTTCTGGTACGACTTAGGATTGTCAAGAGCAGCAGTCACTTTGATTACCAGCGCTGAAGTCCCAGGAACGATGTGTTGACACGATTGAATTTCTCAAACCGTTGTCTTCCAATTGGACACCTACCGCAACGAAAATTCGCCGGCCCAACGGGCCAGAGGCGTGCTAAGATCTCCGGTAACTGCTAAATAATACTTCTAGTTCGCGCGCGCGGGGCGGCCCCTGGGGGTCCCCCGGCGAAAAGTACCCCGGGCAATCCCCGGCAGGGTCGGATCAGAGATGGTTTTGAGGGCCTTTTTCCGACACCCCTCACGAGGATCGTGGCCTCCGAGGGGGGTGCACTCGACTACTGTACCCCGCCCCAAGAGGCCCCCAAGAGCCACCCAAGAGGCCCAAGGGGGGCCCAAGACGCCGCCAAGGAGCCCCAAGAGACCCCCAAGAGGCCCCCAAGAGGCCCCTAGGAGGCCCCAAAGAGGCCCCCAAGAGGCTTCAAAGAGGCCCCATAGAGCGCTCGAGGGCCGGCGGAATGAGCGAAGCGATTAAATAAATCCTGTAATTAGTGATCAATGGAAATGGAAATCGAAGGAGGGTTGTTATAACATCGTTGGTGAGTTTTCAGTTTACACTGGTCCTCCTCCTCCTCATCCTCATCCTCCTCATGCTCCTCCTCCACCTACTCCTCTTCTTCCACTTCCTCATCCTCCATCCTTACGGACTGCTCCCCGTCGCACCACCAGACGTGTTCGTAGGGCGGCATGTCGGTAGGAGGAGCGGGACGAAAAGGAAGATCCCCATCCTCCACCACCCTCGCATCTCCATTTAGAGGCCCCCTGAGTGGGGTCGGAGTAGATGGGGTCGGAGGATCTCGCCGCATCGCCGATGCTTCACCGATACATCGACGATGCATCGGCGATGCATCGGCGACGTCGGCGATGCATCGGCGACGCAGGCGTGGGGAATCACGGGCTCCGCATCGAGCTGCATCATCAATGCATCGGCGATGCGAAGCGATCCTCCGACCCCATCCACTCGGACCCCATCTAAGAGGCGTGGACCGATCCCCCACCCTCGACCACCCTCGAGCAACATCGCCCGTCGCCCCCTCCCCGAGGAGTATCCTCGAGTCGACTTAGCATGCACCGAGCGGGTCGTGAGGGCAGCGAGTCCTGGGCCCCGGGGCCTTCCCCCAGGACCAGCTGTTCGCCCCGAGCTCTCCCAAACAGCTCCGAGGCCTGCGGAAGGCCCGGGGAGGCCGAAAACAGAGAGACCTCGGGACCCCTTTCCCGCAGCTCGAGCAGGGGATCGACTACAGAATAGACTTACCGCGAACCTGATTGCTCTCGGCGAACCTGCGGGAAGCACGCAGCATCCTGCGCATCTTCCGCAGCTTCGACGAGAAGGCATCAGGGGACAAATCCAGCCTGGAGTCGATCCCCAGCTCCATCAGTACCCGCCCGGCTCCACGACGGCCGATCCCCCCCGAGGGGGACGTGCTGCCGTGCGCCCCCCGCGCCTGCTGGAAGCGCGGCGCCCCGCGGCGCGCCAGCAGGCAGGCCGCTGCCGCGCGGGCGGCCGAGCGCATGTGCGCCCCGCGCGCCCGCGGCGAGGGCGGCGGCCGTCGGTGCAGGGGCGGGGCCGCAGAGGGGGGCCTTCTGACGCACGTGGGGCCAGCGGGGAGCTGCCCCATCCCTGCGTCGCCCTCGTGCCTCTCCAGCTTCCCACCGCCTCCGTGCCTTCTCCCCTCCTACCCGACCGCCTGCTCAGCTCCCCCACGCTTCTCGCCCGCCCTCCTCCTCCTCCTCCTCCTCCTCCTCCTCCTCCTCCTCCTCCTCCTCCTCCTCCTCCTCCTCCTCCTCCTCCTCTCCTCCTCCTCCTCCTCCTCCTCCTCCTCCCCCCCCCCACATCCTCCTCCCGCCTCCCTGGCTTCTCCTCCTCGTATCCTCAACCTCCCTTGCCTGCGCTTCTCCTGGATCGAGGGCCCACAGGAGCCCCAGAACAAAAAAGGTAGCACTGCTGCGGCAGCGGCGACAGGAAGCGAGGAAGAGCTACAACATAGAGAGATGGAAGGGAGAAAACAAAACTCGATACATCCCCAGACCCACGACGTCATGTTTTTTTCTTGACGTGGACCCCCCCGCGGTCTGGACCCATTCCCCGGGACCCGTTTTTCGTCCTGAGTCGTTTCGTCCACGGCCCCGAAGGGCCGGTGAGGGCCCCCCCCAGGGGCCGAAGGCCCCCCCCCCTTCCCCCACTCTCCTCCCCTCCAACTCCTCCCCCCATCGCCCCCTTCCCCCCCAAAACTCCTCCCAACTCCTCCCAACTCCTCCCATCGCCCCCTTCCCCCTTTCCCCGATCTCCTCCCCCCCAACTCCTCCCAAATCCTCCCATCCCCCCCTGCGTCACCCCCCCGCCCGCACGCCCTCCCTTCGCCTCCCAGCGGCCGCCTCTTCTCGTTCGCCGCTGCCCCGGCCGCCGCCTGCCCGCGGCGCCGCCATCCTGGCAGGCTCTCCGCCGCTCGCGGCGGCGGCGGCGGCGCGCTGCAGGCGGCGCCGCTCCAGCGGACGAAGCTGCAGGTGGTCGGCGAGGTCCTCGGCATGCTCGAGCACCTCAGCATCGTCATCATCATCATCATCATCATCATCTCATCATCATCATCATCATCATCATCATCATCATCATCATCATCATCATCATCATCATCATCATCATCATCATCATCATCATCATCATCATCATCATCATCATCATCATCATCATCATCATCATCATCATCATCATCATCATCATCATCATCATCATCATCATCATCATCATCATCATCATCATCATCATCATCATCGTCATCATCATCATCGTCATCATCATCAACAACATCATCATCAGCATCATCATCAGCAGCATCATGATCAACATCATCAGCAGCATCATCAGCATCGTCATCAGCATCAGCAGCATCATCATTATCGTCGTCATCAGCATCATCGCCATCATCCTCAGTATCGTCATCGTCATCATCATCATCATCATCATCAGCATCATCATCATCATCCTCAGCATCATCAGTATCGTCGTCATCATCGTCATCATCATCGTCATCATGATCAGCATCATCATCGTCATCATCATCAGCAGCATCACCATCATCAGCAGCATCATCATCAGCATGATCATCGTCATCATCTTAATCAGCATCAGCATTATCCTCATCATCATCAGCAGTCGCATCACCATCATCAGCATCATCAGCATATCATCAGCAGCAGCACCTCTTCGAGCCAGACCGCCCCCATCTCGGCGCACCACTCCTGGTAAGACGAGGCCAGGGCGAGGAGAAATTCGGGGGAGGATAAATCGAGAATCTCTGAGACCCGGCGTCTCTGGATGATGTCTCGGGCGCCGCGGCCTTCTGAGATCATTCCGGCACGCTCTGAGGTCGTTCAGAACGCTCTGGACTGGATTTATCCTCGTCCTAGCCCCACCCAATCCTCCGCCGCGCCCAGGCGCTCCCCCAGCGCCAGGGCCTCCAGCATGCTGGACAGCCCTGCCACGCGGCGGTCTCCCGCGCGCTGGGGCCCCCCACACCCCCGACAACATGAACTTGTCACGACGTGGACCCCCAGCGGCCTGGACTCCTGCCCTGGGACCGGCTTTTCATCTCGAGTCGGTGCTTGACGGTCCCGAGGCATGGCAAGGGCCCCCAGCGGCCAGAAATGGCGAAAAACCTCCCGTCATGGTTTTGTCATGTTTTGTCATGAATCGAGGGGGTCGACGACGGCGATGACGATGATGATGACGATGACGATGACGATGACGATGACGATGACGATGACGATGACGATGACGATGACGATGACGATGACGATGTCGACGTTAACGATCACGATGAAGATGAAGATGATGATGAAGATGAAGATGACGATGAAGATGATGATACTGATGATGATGACGATGATGATGATGCTGATGATGATGATGCTGATGATGCTGAGGATGATGATACTGATGATGTTGCTGATGATGATGATGATGATGATGATGATGATGATGATGATGATGATGATGATGATGATGATGATGATGATGATGATGATGATGCTGTGCTCGACCATGCCGATAGCGATGTCGACGGTGACGATAGCGATGTCGACGATGACGATGACGATGACGATGATGACGATGACGATGACGATGACAATGACGACGACGACGACGACGACGACGACGACGACGACGATGACGATGACGATGTCGAGGGGGTCTGGGGCCCCAGCTCTGCCGCCCCCCCCGCCAGCTCGCCCTCGGCGCCGGCGCCGACCGCAGCCTCGGCAGACCAGTCCACCTCGGCCGCGGCTGGGGCGCCGCCCTCCCAGCCCGCGGGCATACCGTCGCCGCGGGCGGCCGTGGCCCCCGGAGGCCCCTGGGGCAGGCCCGGACATGCTCGCGCCCTGGAGAGCCAGGAAGTAGGACGAAGCCAGGACAGGCTCGGTGGCAACTCACGGGAGCCTCCCATACCATCTTGTCGACTCTTGCGAACCGACGCTGGTCGACGCTGGTCGACGCTAATCGATGCTGGATCGACGCTAATCGACGCTAAATCGACGCTCATCGATGCTAACCGACGGTAAATCGGCGCCATCTCATCGACTCCCAGACGCTAATCGACGCTAATTGACGCTAAAGACGGGAGTAAGACGGTACACCAGGCTCCCATGATTTGCTACCGAAGACAAAAGGACAAATCAGAAATCTCTGAGATCTGGCGGTTCTGGCGGAAGCATCGGGCCCCGCGCCCTGCTCAGAGCGGTCTGGAACGCTCCGAAACTGCTTCATCCTTGCCACACTTAGCCCCGCCACAGGGCGCAGGCAGTTCGCCGTCTTGGGGCTTTCGGGGGCCCTCACGCCAGGCCCCAGGACCGTCGGAAGACGACCCGGGACGAAAAGACAGTCCCGGGAAAAGGGTCGGGCCCAGCGTGGTTTTGTTGTGCGAGACACTGGCCCCCGATCTCTGAAAACCCCGCTCCCAGGAAAAGGGTCGGGACCAGCGTATCAATCTTTTCAAGACGCTGGCCCCCGACCTCTCGACCGCTTCCCCGGGACGGGCTCTCACCCCGCACCCCGAGGGGCCGAACCCCGTGAGAAGAGTCCTGTTCGACTTTCTGGAGACGCTGGATGTCTGGGGACGTCCTCAGACCCCGCGTTGAAAAAACAGGACATCGCATGTCTGGGGAAGGAGCCTGCGCGCCACCCCCGCAGCGGAGCCGCTGGCGGCGCCCCTGCAGCCAGCGCATGCGGGCCGCCTGCTCCGAGAACCGCTCCTGGCCGAGCTCGAAGAGGTCGGCGTCGTCCAGCCCGGCCACCTGCCCTTGCAGCCTGTAGTCGACGTGCCTCCTCACGTACTCCGCGCGGGAGCAGCCCGCCAGCTCTAGAAGAAGAAAGAATGGCATAGACATGAACGTTCAGCGCTCCGCGCGGATTCCTTGGATCTGCGCTGGGCCCCCCCGGCGGCGCCTCCGGCGCCGCCCCTGGCGCACTCCGCGCGCCAGGGAGGGGGGCCCAGCGCGGATCCAAGAGACCCGCGCGGAGCGCCCAAAGCTCATGCTTTTGCCGCTTTTGCCTCTTCGAAGCTCCCTGAAGAGGCACTGCCCCCCAGAGGCGGCGCCGGCGCCCGGCGGCTCCGCGCCGGGGGGCGGAGCGAGGCCCATCAGCCGCCTGGCCGCTGCCTCGTTGCCCTCCGCGGCAGGCGCAGGCCCGCCCCCCAGCCGGTGCAGCTCTGCAGCCGGGCTCCCGAAGGGCGGCTGCCCCGGCAGCCGGAGCTCCTCGTCGGGCAGCGCCCGAGCTCGGCCCTGCGGCCTGGTGCGCACGCGCTCGCGGGCGAGCTCGCCCCCCCCGCCGCTCGGGAGCCTGCCCGCGGGTGGCATGCTGGGCCGGGGCGAGCGGGGGCCCCCCGGGTCGCCAGGAGCTCGGCGCCTCGAGGCCAGCTGGGCGAGCCTCTCGGGCTGATCCGAGAAGTGGTGCGCGCCGAGGTCTGCGAGGTCGCTGTCCGCGAGCTGCGGCATCTGGAGCACGCGGGCCTGCAGGTTGAAGTGGACGTTCTGGCGCACGAACTCCTCGCGGCTGCACCTGCCCAGCGGCAGCTCGCTGGCCGCATCGGGCACCTCCTCGAGAGCCGCCAGTGTCTCGCGCACCGCGCGGCCCTCGGCGAGCAAGGCCCCGTCGCTGGTCGTCCTCCTCCCGCGGTACAGCGCGGAGCCAGGCACACAGGCCACTGCCACGCCGCCGAGCGGGCGCGCCTCGCGCACGTCGAAGTTCAGATCCCCGACGACCAGCGCCAGCTGACCAGCCGGCGCCGCCTGCAGCAGTGCTTGGGCGGGCCGTGCCCCGGCCGGCTCCGCTGGGGCCCCGCATGCCGCCGCCGCAGCGGGCGCGCGGGGACCGGCTCCGGGGGCGCCCGCAACGGCCTCGTCGCCAGAAGGGTCGCCGAGGTCGAGCGGCAGGTGGCAGCTCGTCACCCTCAGGAGCGCACCGCCGCCGGCCAGGCCCAACGCCGACAGCACGGTGCACAGCGCACGACCCTCTGCCCCGTGGGCCTGGAGGCGCAGGTCCCACTGATCTCTGTCCCAGAGCGACACGACGCGGGCAGCGGCCGAGACGCAGAGGCTCGCGTGGCCCAGCCGGTCCGCCGAGGGCCCGCCGCTGCTCGACAGGGCCTGCAGGAACGAGGCGAAGATGCCCGGGTGCGCGGGAGCCTCCTGCAAGCAAGCCACCCATGGCATGGGAGCCCCACCCGCGCCCGTGCGGGTGGCACCAGCCGCCCACCGCGCTACAAGCGGCGCCACATCCTCCATGAGCCGCCGCTCGTACTGGGCGATGGTCTCGTCCGCGTCCAATCCGTTGTTCGTGAGGAGCTCCGACGCAGAGTCCTGGCACGCCCGCTTGCTCGGCCTCGCCCCCGTCGGCCTTCGGCACATGCCTCGGGCCATCACGTTCCAACTGAGCACCCTCACCTCCAGGCGCGGAGACGGGCGCGCGATCAGAAACTCCAGCGGCAGGTGGTCCGACACCGCCCCACCAAAGATCTCCTCCGCCGACGCCAGTGCGGAGGCCGCCACTCGCAGCTGCTCGCGCTCCCCAGCCCGGGCCTCCATGACACACATGCCCCGACCTGGCGCATGGGGGCTTTGAAGCTAGCCGAGGTCTCTCCCTTCAGCCAGAGGGCACTGCGGACACAAAAAACAGGTTCCCACAACCATGGTACACTTCTCCAGCGGACAAGCGGGCTGAACGAAGTAAATCAGAGTAGCACTCTGACTCAATTGGCGAGGTGCATCCATCCCAAGAAGCGCGCAAAGGAAAGAGAACACTGAGTGAGGAACGCTGGGAGATGTAAGACACCAGGCAAATCACGAGGACGAGCCTGGCCTGGCGTCGACCAGCTGCCCAGCGAAACAAACTCCAAACGCCTGGATCCCCACCTGAGAAGTAAAAGGGAACGCTTCGAGGCCAGCGTGGGACCTGGGCCATCTCGAGGCACCCACCAAAGGTTGGTACAGATGGCACACCATAGCGTGAACAGCTGCACAGCTCCAGCGTGAGGCTGGACAAACACACACCCAGCCGAAGCCTGCTAGCGAACCCCATGAGGTGGCGTGCCGTGACCGCAAGAATAAGTAGCCGCGGCACTATCATACTGTGTACTATTCCTTCTCTTCCACCTCCTCATCATACTCCCCCCTCGCCCTCAACACTACTCCTCTGATTAATCCTTCCTTGCATCCAATGTATGTATCAAGAGGTGTATCCGTCCTCTTCCACCTCCTCATCTTCCTCCTGCTCCTCATCATCAACATCATAAGTATCATCCGTATCATCATCATTAACATCATCAGAAGCCGCATCATCATCAGAATCAGCGACAGCAGCATCATCATCTGAAAGACCATCATCATCATCAGCAGCATAATCATCCTCATCGTCATCACCACTACCACCACCACCATCACCACCACCACCATCACCACCACCACCACCACCACCACCACCACCATCATCATCATCATCATCATCATCATCATCATCATCCATCATCATCATCAGCAGGATCACCCTCATCATCAACATCATCATCATAATCAGCATCAACATCGTCAGCATCATCAACAGCATCATCATGAGCATCATCAGCATCATAATCATCACCACAACCACCGCCATAGTCATAATCGCCATCACCAGCATCATCAGCATCATCATTATGATCATCATCAGAAGCATCAGCAGCAGCAGCATCATCCCCAGTACCATCATCATCAGCATCATCATCATCAGCATCATCATCATCAGCATCATCATCATCAGCATCAACATCATCATCAGCATCAGCATCGTTCCGGCAAGCGGCAGGGCGGCCGCGGACCGTCGGCCTGGCCAGCGGCACCGCTGATCGGCGGGGCGGCCGCGGACCGTCGACCC